GTTAGCCCAGCAAATGCATACACTGGATCTCCCTCCTGTCACACAGCCAGTCATACTCTAGCACAATGCAACTCTTGACTTCATGATGCATACTTTAATTACTTGATTCCTTTCAGATTTCTGAAAAGTTAATTATTATTTAAGATGTAGTTCTCTGTGTTTTAAGAGTGCTTTCCAAACACTGCAACTCACTATCCTCCACACTGTTGCCTGTGTGGGAGACAGGCAAGGATCTGTAAACTTAATTTACAGAAAAGGAAGCACAGGCAGAGGGTTTATGTGACCTGCACTAATTCTGTGCTGTTCATCAGTCACAGGATTGGTCATTACAGGCAGGTCTGCAAGTGATTATGAACTACCATGGGGCCCAGTTAAAATCAATGAAAATGTGACATTTTTCCTTTGGTAATAATTTATCTTTTGGTCCTTTGACTTCCTACATGAGGCCCATTGCTCACTGCCTGTGGGAGGGTCAGGGTTAAAAATGATGATTTCAGACAGGAAGATGCTTTCCAGTGGCTGCAGAAATGTGCTGTGCTAGTGGAGGACCAGAGTGAAAATTCAGCCTGGATTGTTGACCAACACTGCCAATCCTGCAGTGGAGGTGCGGATTTTGTACCTTTTGCAAGCTCTCGAGGACATAACCTACAACATACGGCAGGGTGGTCAGTCACAAAGATACCAGAGACTTTGACTTGACTGAAACTGTCTACTCCTGCTGTAAAATATGGAGGAACCACAGGAGAAAGAGTCTAAGAATGGTGACCCCAGGTCTGACATGGGCCCCAGCGAATGTCTGAGGAAGAATATAGGAACAGAGCAAACACATATGAAACCTTCCTGCCCCTCACACTGTCCCCCCAACCTCTTGCCACCTCCAGCTCAGGGCATTGCCTCTTCAGGCAGTAACAGGGCTGCTCAGAAAAGACAAAGCAGAGGTTGTTTCACCAACTGATTTGGTACTTTGGCTGGCTCCACATTTCTGTTATGTCCAAAGGACACAGTCCTATTTGTCACATCCCTGCAGGGGAAGCCCTGTGTTTGGCCCTAGTCTGTTTTCAACACAAAAGCCATCCTGATTGCAAGAGCCATCCCCAGAAGGGTTTGAAGTCCTTTGCAATTACTGAATCTTGTAGTGCAATTACCAACATACCAGCTGAAAATCAGCTAAAGCTCAGTCCCTGGGAATAATCGGTCTTTACTGAAAATATCCTAATAGCAGCCAAGTGCTGGCACCCTCCATCGCTCACTACAGCTTTTCAGGCATCCATAGGCACACCTCACAGCACAGAACAAGCACCTTTCTCAGGATGAGAGACAGATACCTCTCTGCACTCTTAGAACAACTCTTTAAATTACTGAATCTCACAAATCTTTTGTGAGTTAAGCACAGGAACAAGGCAGAATGCAAAGTACTTTCCGAAGCACCAGCTGAAGCCCTCAAAACTTTGTCCACTCTCTCATTTATATCTGAGCCAGGGATACATTAAACCAGCATAGGGCATTCCAGGAAATGAATCAGGCAGTGACGGAGAAAGCATGGAGTGGAAAGCCAGTCCTGGAGAAGAAGAAAAAAACAGACAGTCCAAAACAGTCAAAGAAACTTCAATGGAAAAGAGAAGGTAAAAGTGGAAGAATAATGGCATCAGAGACAAAATAGGATTGCATACGCCAAAGGCTTTCAGACTGTTCTCTTCCATATTCCCATATCTTTCTCCCAAAAAGCAATTGCTGTACTAGAGGGTAGGACATGAGCTGTTTGCAGTCTGCTCTCCCAAGGAGAGAATTTGTACCTTCCAAAAAAAAGACTAAAACCAAAAAGAAAAAGTGTTTTCTAGATGGAATTTATTTCCTCTTGAAAGAAAAAGCACCTGACTAAAGGTTTCCGATTTACAGTCATGTTGGGAGAATATAAACATACGTCCAGTCAAGAGACGTTGGAGTTAAGTACCACACTGGCACCAGATTTGTGGAGTGCCTGGGTGAGAGCAGAGCAGGTGCTACCAGCTGCACCTGCACTGCTCCTGAGCACCTGCTCAGCTTAGAGCCTCTTGGAGTGAGGCTGCGCAGAGACCTGAAATCAGAAGCTCCCAGTGTAACACATTGCACTGCAACGGACAGCATCTAAAATGCACATCCTTCAACAGCCCTTTCATTTTTCTCCCAGTTGTCTTACCTGAAGACCTTGACCACTTGAAGCAAATGGCAAGTGTTCTGTCTCATTGGGCTTTCGATCAGGATTCATGTTGTTACAAGTGCAGCTGTTGGAATGTGCCAAATTTTTTACAGACTGAGAGTCTAATTCCTATTGAATCTTTTACACATTTGTACCTTAAAAAAAAATCTGAAGCCAGGTGGAGAGCCCTAGAAGATGTGGCACGGCCCTTGTGAGGAATGGGAACATGACAGAAAAACAAGAAATGTTCCTCTTGCTGTGCATGATCAGCAAAAGAACCGGCACCTTTGTAAGGGTACAGTAGGGCTTCCATAAGATTCCAGATTTCTGGCAGGTTAAGGCCCAAATACTCATGATTTATATAAACTCATGATTCTATGGCACCTGTTTCCAGGAGAAGGAGTGTTAGATTTCCTTGGTTAAATTTCTGCTTCAAGAATGATTTGACCTCCTCAAATCTGACTGCTCTAACAAGCTTTACATAGGACTAGACATTCAAATTGACGCAAAACGTGGCAATCCAATAGCAGGGACTGGGAGAGGCATTCTTCAGTAAAGACTCTGAGCTTCTGCATTGCTACTGGAAAATACTAGGACGACTCTGAGGTATTGGCTTTAATTTATTGTTTCCTGGGATCTAGTGTCAGAAAGAATGTGCCACAGCCTATGGCACAGTGCTGCAAGGATGAGGCGCATTCAAGCTGCAGCACCACAGGGAAGAAAGAGCAATACAGCAATGGCAAGGTGGTGCCTGCAAGGAAGCCCAGCCTCTGGACTTGCCCAGGGAAGTACTTTTACCTGTGGGCAACAACAGCTTTGGAGTGCAAAAAAAATATAAATTGAGAAATGTTCTAGTCTGAAATGGTGATGTGATGCTTCATGGGAATTGTAATTTCAGTGCTGCCTGCTCTCATGTCCTGATCCCAGCTGCATGTGTCATGGTGAAGGAGAGCATCAGAGGGGCTAAATGTCTGATGGGAGATAAAATGCAACTACAGAACCCAGCTCACAGGGAACAGTCATTATTTTCAGCTTCCTGGAGACATCCATATACTGCTTTAAAATCAAAGTATTTGGGGTTCTGGTACATCAATATTTTTCAAAGTAGTACTTAGGCTTTAAAAAAAAAAAAAGAAAAAAAGTTTGAGAACCATTTTTTTCAAATCTCCCAACATTTTTCAAAACACCTCTTATTTGTTGACTTTCATTGTCAGCTACAAAGTGCGCTTTTGGTTTCCTGAGTTGAAAGAAGTTGGGATGATTCTAATGGGAGGAAATGCAAAGTTTCAGTAGGTCTTGATCTGCTAAAAATGGAATAATAAATACTGGGCAAAGGATGTCCCTACAGAATTGTGTTTGTCTCCTTCCAATTTGAAGATAAGCCAAAGAATGACTACATTTTGTGCACACGGTTATAAACAAACTGGTTAAAAAGAAACTCCACCTGCAGTTTCTCAGTGGGCTGATTAATCCTTTCCTACCTCAATTGTTTGCATAGCCCTGCTGCACATGGTTAAACAGCCAGTAATGACGCACTCACTGTGTTTTCCCTCAGAGGTAGCCACATCTCATTCTGAGCGTCTTTTTTCAAAATTCATTGTGTCCCTTTACCAGGAAGGATGCTTTACAAATGAAGGCTGCTGCTGCTGCTATGAAACTGGAGCTGCCTCTTCCTAGTGCCGTGAACATAAATATCAGTAACTGAATATCTTTCCAAGATGGCTTCCTCTGAAGCAAGAGAGGAGAAAGAAAAAGGGAGACTTAGCATTACTTTATATAAAAGCTAAGTGTAAAAAAATACTGCTGAATTAACAGTGTGGAGACTGACCATATGCAGTCACCTTGCTAAAGTAGCCAAGGGAAAGCGTCACAAGTCCAGGCAAATCTTGGCACATGCACAGCCATAATTTTGTAACTATTTGCTGTCCAAAAAGCCAATATAAATCAACAGGATCTTTGCAATGAGTTTGCTGGACTTTGTTCGGGTTTGGGGTGCAAATTCAGGAAGTATGTTGTAAAGGAAGAAAGGTGGAGTCAGAATCCAGAAGCATTTGGCTCAGCCTCAAGCAAAGGTTACCATCGGCCACTAAGCATTACCTTGGCCCAGCACCACCCAGAATTATTAAATGTAAGCTGCTACCAGAAGGACATTTATAGCAGGACCAAACTCCTAGCAGGAACAGGTATGCAGCTGTCCCAGCACACAGAGATCACTGAACTACGCAGGGTTATAAACTCACCTCTTCTCCTCCCCTTTCAAGCCAACACACAGACTTGCCTGTCGTCAGTTCCCGCATGATGTGTGTTCAGATTTTTTCCTTCCCTGTTCAATTTTGCTGGAAGAGGGCTATGACTTAACTTGTTTGGAGTGACCCATTAAATAAACATGAGTAGGACATGGCGTGCTAGCAAAGGGGCATGAGTGTTTTCATGAAGGGAACTGACTTCTTGATGTTGTCACAGGCAAGCCTCTTTCAGATGTATTTACGCTGGAACAGCTTCTACATTTTTTTCAACTCCAGAGGGATTACTTTAACAAAATTTGTGTTTCCTCTGGATTTTATCCTTAGCAGCTTGGTTACAGGAAAGGCAAAAAACAGTCCTTGATCTGCAGGAATATCTCCTATGTTTTGTCCCAAGGTTTGGAAGTTACTCACCAAAAGGCAGGAAAGCTGCTATGAGCTGCAATGCAGTGGGAGACTGGAATAAGGGTTGGACCCCTATAAGCTATTAATTCAGATATGAAACAATTTTTTTTTTTAAAAAGCTAGTTTTCAGGATATATTTGATGTTTTTAAGAGATTGGAGAACAGGAGAGGAAGGGGAGTGGGAGAAAAATGTTGCTTTATATTGTGTCTATAATGATAATTTAGTGTTTCCAGGACAGAAACTAACACCTCTAACAGAAAGCAACATTTTCACCCATGCTGGAGTTTCTGGACCACATCGCCATTCAAACAGGAGCACAATAAGCTTACTATTTTTTCCCTGCAATAAGCACATACTGGGTTTGCTGCTTCCCCATCTCCAACCCACATGAGCCTTTACTAACAGAAGTCTCATTAAACCAGAAGTCTCAATGGCATTGTTTTCACATACATGTATGTGTGTGTGCACATGCAACACATATACATGTATACATATGAATTATCAAAATACTATTATAAAGCAAGTGTTCTTTCTCAACACCTCTTCTCTGCCCACCCCACATCCCCCCCCTTCCCCAGGCCAGAGTATTTCAAAACAGAAAGGAACTGAAAACTTTAAAGAGACATTCAGGCCTTGTTAGCACTGCAAACATCTAGGCGCATTAACAAGTCCCTGGTCCACCTCTAGGACGTGTGTCGATGAACAGCCTCTAGTTCACAATACTGATTCCTTGGATTCAGGGTCTGCTGTACTGGTTGTGTTGGAGACTTGGTTTTTGTGGGTTACCAAAGGCGATGTTTCCTCTTCAGACTTGCTGTTAGCAACTGCTTCTACGTTGACTTCCTTTAGCTCCTGCTCTTTGTCCTTCTTTTCTTTTTCATTCAGGTAATGAAGGATGCCTGCTCCTAGGGCATCTCCTTCCACATTCACAACTGTGGTGGTTCGGTCCCTGGTTAAGATCAGAAACAAAAAACAAAGCAGCAGGCTTTTAGCTTAAGAGAGTTACAACACAATAAGGGGTGCTGATTCACCCCTGCTGATCCACTAACATCAGTGGAGCTAGACAAGAGAGATGTTGTTACCACAGGTATTCTCCACAGAAGTATCATCACCATTTCAGAACTAAAAATGTGCACCAGAGCTGGTTTAAGGTTGGTTGAACTATTACTATCAGCTGGTTCTGGTCTCTCAGTGGGTTGCAGCAATGGTACTACTCTTCCTCAGGCATCCTTCTTTTCCCAGCCCACCTCCTTCCTCTTCCTCTTCCCCAGGCCAGCATTTTTCAAATGTGAGTTCAGAGCAGGAACTTAATTTGGGTTTACCCAGAAGGCAACTCACAGCACCCAGCTCTCTTTTTTTTTAACTATAGAGACTTGTACCTTAACCCAAATACCTACTTAAGGGGTCCTTCCAAACGCAGGCAGAATTACTGTGTTCTCTGGATTTCTTGCTAGTAGCACTTGTCATAGAATCATAGAATCATTAAAGTTGGAAAAGACCTCAAGGATCATCAAGTCCAACCGTCAACCCACACCACCTGACTCACTAAACCATGTCCCTAAGCACCACATCTACACGTTTCTTGAACACCTCCAGGGATGGTGACTCCCCCCCCGGGGGGGGGTCCCCCCCCCCCCCCCCGGGCCAGCCTGTTTCAATGCCTGATCACTCTTTCAGTGAAGAAATTTTTTCTAATATCCAGCCTAAACTTTCCCTGGTGCAACTTGAGGCCGTTTCCTCTTGTCCTATCACTTGTTACTTTAGAGAACAAGGGGAAGCAATTGCGAGACTTCTGCCAGCTGATTACAGAATGCTTCACATGCTTCTTCCTGATGGTAGGGTGGCCTATAACACACTCCCAGAAGGATATCAGCCTTGTTAGCCCTTCACCTCATTCTTACCCATAGGCACTCAAACTTACCACAATCCTTTATTTCTATACAATCAAAACACTCCCTAACATATAGAGCCACCCCACCTCCTCTCCTTCCTTGCCTATTCCTTCTGAAGACCTTATAGCCATCCTAACATTTGGTCTCACTACACTAAACTACTGTGTCCCAGGGTCTAAAAGAGGAGCTTGGGTCATAATGGGTCATAAAGAACAACAATTTCTTCACATGCTTTTGAGACTATTAGTCATTCTGCAGCCTAACTTCAACATGTGCTCAACTTGTAACTGTGGTTCTCTCTGGTAATTTAACAGCTGGCACTAAAACAAGACACGGAACTCTTCCCTCGCTCCTTCCCCCTTTTATTACCACAAGGCTGAGTTCCTTGACTAGAACAACAGTGTTGACCACCGAGGGATGCTACATATTTTGAAGTGAAGGCAGCCAGCACAACACAGGCTGAGGGCAGCCTGGAGGGAAAGGAAGGGCAAGGTTTTCACTCTTGCCTCCAAGGACTTGCAAGTACAGCTTGTGGAATGTACAGCTACTACTGTAATCCCTTATGAAGACAAGATACAAAGGGCTAGCCACTGCTTTGCCTGTCTCTGTTGTCCTTTGGACGTGGCTGATCCCCAAGAGGTGACAGCAAGAAAGAGTTTGATGGTCCTAATGAAGCTGTAGGAATATGATTATGCTCCACAGACATGTGTGGTATGGAAAGGAAAGCAGGTAATAGAGCTGCCTTCTTCCCCAGCCTCTGGAATTCAGGACTGTCCTTGGGCATCCTAATTTCCACATCTGCTGTGGAAATACACCATCTACACAGAGAGGCTGGTGTTTCCAAAAAGCAATGCGAAGGGATTATGTGCAGTCTAAACCATGAACTGCCCAGAAACCCATCAGCTTGAAAAAAAATCCAGTGGTATTCAGATCACTTGACCCATAATGACCAGTGATTTCAGCCCACTACCCAACTTCAACCAGATGGCTTGAAAACAGATTATGCTTACTTTGCTAGCATTTAAACTCTAAGCATGCTGTAATTCACGAGCACTCAGAAGCTTGTTTGAGGAAAAGCAGAGACACTCTTTTCCATGGGGCTCACCAAAGGTATAAGAAATCATCTGCACGTGGCATTTACACTTACCATGCACTTGTGGCTGGATCCCCAATACCTAGAGCAAAACTAATTTTCTAGGCTTTCCTTAATCTAATTTAGGTAGTACAGAAGGTAAATTTAGGTCTTAACAAGGACATAACCACGCTAAGTGGTGAGATAAGCTCTTCCAAACAGAGCTGGACAAGGAGATAATCTCTCAAGGAGGGGAATGGCTCTTGGAAAGAAGAGAAGGAGCTGAGCAAAGGTCTGACCTTTTTAGCTCTTTCCCACAAGATGGAAAGGAAAGGTGGCAATACTGTGTACTAAACTTGTGACTCCCAGCAGCATTTTCCAACCGTGATGCTGCCCACAGCTGTGATGGGTGCCACAAACCCTCTGTGATCCTGCCCTGCCAGTGGATGGCACCTCTCTATGACGCTGGTGTTGGTGCTTTGACCAGTCTTGACCAGTCTTGAACTATAAAAATAATTCAACCAATAGCTGACAACAGCTTCTGATGGAGACTGCTTCACACATGTGAACAAGAAAGCCTTCCACCACTATTCAGACTCAATTTCCTTTTTTCCCCCTTCCCTCCTAGTGTCCAATTAATTTTCAGCAATATCAACACCTTCTTTTAACAATCCTTTTAAAGGAAATTGAAACCAGGAAAAAATATTCTTCAATTAAAGGCTGAGTAAAAAAGCTGAAGAGGGATTTTAGCATCCTAATTGCTTCAGTTCAGAAAGGAGCACTTTTTCCATTATCTGTCAAGAGTTGCCTGTCCTGTAGACAGCCATATCTTGTAGGGGTTTACTTTATACTGTGCTACTTTGACTACGCTGACCCATGTTTCCAGCTGAACATGCTACATGTCATGCAACAGCAGTTACACGTGGCCTAAAGTACTTACACAATCCAGTCCACTGCTAATATCAAGGAGAGATCGTTGGTGGGAAGTCCAATGGCCTCCAAGATGATAGCAATGGTGAGGACTCCTCCAGCTGGGATCCCGGCTGCACCCACGCTGGATGCGGTAGCTGTCACACTGCAAATCAATTTGCGTACCCGGTTAGCAGGATCTCCTTTTCTACACTTATGTCACATATTTCCCTGCTATGGGAACTGTAAACAAACTCTATGGCATGGGACATGCAGATCATTTGCTTCCCAGGAAAAAAAAATCCTTCCTGCCTCTGATGCAAACTAATGGGTACGGAGCACAGTTGCTCAGCAGGCAACCACAGCAGCTACCAAGGCAATGGTTCTGTGTTTAACACCATGATTGCTTTTTCAGAAAGAAAACCAACCAACACAACTATATCCTGCTGTCTTACTAATACATCCATTTTCAAGTCATGTATCAGTTCAAATATGCTAAGTACATTATATCTCCTGACCCCAAATGCATAAAGGTAAACCCCACCATACAGGGTACTGTCCCTTCTCTGTGTCTCATTTGCATTCAAACACAGACCCTAAATCAGGAGCTGGAAACATGCGGTGCATGCGCTATAGACATGGACCACACACCTTGTTATGTGCCGATGTCTCCAACTGAGCTTTCCTTGGGCTATCACTGCATTATCTTCAGGCCTGTGTTAACACCTGCTTCACTAAGGGTAGCTGAAAGGCTAATTTGGCCATCCACAAAGAAAATAACACCCCAGCCTTGCCTTAAATAGACACACAGTACACTGGGGAATGCAATAAGGAAATAAAACCTGGCCAGAGACTGTTAAAAATAATGGGGCAAAGCAGTCAGGAGGGGAATGATAATGGGTCTGACGCGGGAAGCTAGCAATGCGATGGTAGGAAGGGCAGAGGTGAGCAGGAGCAGTGTCTTTAGTATGAAATTGATACATAAGGAAATGAGAAGCTGGCAGGAGGATTTTCTAAGATATCGAGAGGGGCAATCAGCGGTAGCTTTCTAGGTAGAGCAGCATGCTTCAATTACCCAGCTTAATGCTGAGTAAAGGGTGGGGGAGCAAGATGCTTAAGGAAGGAGAGGAATGTTGTGGGAGAAACAGCTTTAAACAGCTCAAAGTCTGTTTCAGAATTCAATTACCCCTCCCAAGTTCCACCTTTTATTAAATTGAGATTATGGCAAATCTTATAAAGCTTGAAAGACTCCATCCTTTAATGACACTATAATTATGTTTCATAGCAGTTTGCAAGCTTTAGGTCAGAGATGTGGAATGCAAACTGCTAGCTATTAACAGAGAGACCACAAGCTTGAATGTGTCTGGGGCCAGAAGGATGTGGTTGCAATAGCAAGCAACTTACAGAATTGTGAAGATTTGCCCAGGGTTGAGGTCGACATTGTTCAGCTGAGCAATAAACACAGCTGCCATGCACTGAAAAATAGCAGCTCCATCCATGTTTACAGTCGCCCCGATAGGAAGGATAAACCTGCTGATCCTCTTGTCAACTCCATTGTTCTCCTCAATACATTTGATCATCGACGGGAGAGTGGCTGAGCTAGAAACAGAGAAAAATCAAACATCAAAGCATCATGGTGCACTGAATGGAAAGTCACTGTCTCACATCTTTCATGTTTCTAACACGCTGCAGACATGACTGTCAAGACAATGATGCCATTTTATAGTCCCTCTCTGTCACGATGGCAATGAGGGACCCTCCTCATTGGTCTTGAGCAGTGGTATTTAATAATCTGCTTCCATCCAGAAATAGCTGATAAGGACTCTAATCTCCCAGAAGGAAGAATTAATGAGTTAACACAGTATGCAGCTTAACAGCGCTGGGGAATGATCAAGTCTCAAACCACAAAAATACACCAACAGATGTCAATATAAACACAAAAGATGCAACAGCAGCCTCTGTTAATGTTGTACCTTCTCAAATGAACAGACAAATAATAATAAAAAAAAATAAATCGCTGTTGGATTTATTTATTGCATTATAAATTACATGGTTTTATTCATAAACCTTCTCCTCCTTCAGGTACTTCAGCTCCTGTGACAGACATGCATCTACTTTAGGAGGGTACCTGAAATGATTTTATATAGTCATGATATTTGATCAGGTGTTTGGTCCTTGAGAAAAATGTAAATGACATGCTTGATAGTTTGGTTATGACAAATAAAAGCTGATCCGGCCAGATCTTTGAAATCAATGTTAAGACCCTTTACACTAGCTAATAAGTTTGCTTTGCTCCTGCAAAATTAGTCTGAACTTGTCCCAGATCTTTCTGAACTTGGAGAACTAAACTTCTCAGGACAAAGTCCCTCACTACTCGCCCTCACTTTACTTAAAATTGAAAGGACATTGGGCAGGATCCTTTTAAGGCAAATACTTGCCCCCTTTTCCCCCCAAATTTCCAGCTTGGCATCCTGCTACGGTCCCAATATTTTGAGGAATTGTTTTCAATACCTAATTATCAGCACGTGCTGTGTGGCAGGCTGCTGACAGCAGTGAGACCCTCTATGCTCAGAAGTCTCTTTTTGCAATTTCAGGAACAATACTCACACCTAAAACTCACAGTTTGGTACTGGGACATACCCAGTTTACAGTGACAAATATAACCAGGCTATAATCCCAAAGGAAGCACAGAAACCCACCTGGAGCATGTGGCAAAAGCAGTGGTAAGTGGCGTGATAAGTCCTAAGAGAAAACGATATGGATTTTGACGTGTGGACGCAAAATATATAAGTGGCAGAATGATTCCTCCATGGATGAAGTGGCCCAGAATAGAGGCGAAGATGTATTTTCCCAGACTAGTCACCAGAAGTACAATATCTTCCATCTCCACAATCTTGCTCCCAACAAGGAACATAATGCCAATAGGTACATACCTGTGCAAAGAAATATTGCCTGACATTAAGTACAAACAAAAAGCCCTGAAAAACATGCCATTTTTCGTCCTGGAGATAATATTCTTCTAAAGAATATGCTGCTCCTACTGAAAGGTAGCACCTAATTCCCCACACATCCAGGTTAAGCAAATTTGGAAGGCCTCTGTAACACCCTTTCTTGGTGGAAGGCAAGCAGTCAAACTGAAAAAGCTCTGTTCACCTAGGCCCTCAAAGACACAGCTAGGAGAGTGCCGAAGGGAAGCCAAGCAGGAAGCAGAAATGCTGGAAGAAGCTATCAGGACAAGACACCAGTGTGGAGTTTTAGTCCATCATGGAGGAAGGCAGGCAAAGAGCTAAAGTCACTGCTGAAGGGACAGCAGATGGTAGGAAGGAAAAAGGAGCAGTATCATGTCATTGGAACAGAGAAAGGGGTGGAAGAGTAGGATCTCCACCACACATGGGGTGACTGTGAGAAGAAATATGAAGTTAGGTCATTAAAATGGTAGACATACTGGTGCCAACATATTCAGTGTAGGAAAGAAAAAGCTATGCACATACCAGAAAGCTCAGCTAAAGGCTGCTGATGCACGTGCAAAAGTTAGCAATTAACTCTGCTATTTGCCTACAAAAGACTAAGCTAAATGGTCAGGCTCCCAGAGCTTCCCTCAAGCCAACAGCCACCACATACATTCTCACACCTCCTGTCTAGTAATGTCTTTGGACATCAGCATTTGTTTGAGGTTTCTTTTGTCAGGAGCACTTAGAGCTGATCCAGGGGAAGGGCCACCTGTGGGCCACAGCCACACCTCTGGTGCCAGTAGTACAGCTGGGAACAGCCTTGAAAAGACAGAATTGCCCTTGCACCTACAGCACATCAGCTACTAAACAAACTGCAGGAATCACGTCAGGCCCAGGGTCAGCTCCTCCAAAGCTCTACTTGAGATGCCTGTTCCTGAGTACCTCTGCTGATGCTGTCCCTGCTCCATCCATTTCTTCGAAGATCAAGAAATACTAAAAGATCACCCAGTTCTCCAAAACCCTGCCCCAGGCACACACGTGACTACAAAAGACCTGCCTGTATATGTCAAGAGTATAGAATGTTTTCTCTCCCACTCTCCCCTCCAATCCAAGGCCCATGTTCAGAGAAGCTAATCTGTGGAGTCAGGACAAACTTCAGAAGGTTTGGTTAATCATACAAAGGTGGGCAAGCCTTAGGGTTGCTCAGATCACTCACTTCTTCCTAGCCTGCCTCTCCCTCAGTGGTTCTGCAGCTCCTCTCTTCTGTGCAGAAAGCACCTCCTTATGTCCCAGATCAATGTGAGCATCCTTTTTCTGCCTCTTTGTGTCATCTCTTGGCCAAATCTCTAGGGGGGGCCAGCTGAACCTTCCCCACTTGGCCTCTACCAATTCTGCGACATTTCTGAGCACCCCCATTAGCTAGATCTAGCTGAGCTCCAGACCTGTATAAGCTCTGCAAACATGAACACTGGATTCAGAGCTGAGACTGGATCCCTCCCCTTGGAGAGGGAATCTGGAGAGGAAGGAACTGAAAGCTGAGACCAAAGTGCTGCTAAACACGAGTGGCTGTTGAATGGGACTAGATATGAGCTCAAGTTGCCTTTTCTCTTGCTAGTATGATTTCACCCATTCCAAACTACTCTTTGGAAAGCACATCCAGCTTGGCAGATTTTGAATAAATACTAGGACAACAAGAGCCTCAAGGAAGGAAAGAGAACAAGGAAGGGCTACGGTGCACTGCAGTGTTAAGAGTCAGCTATGGTCCCAATAATCCACAAAGTAAAGGATTATATACCAACTGATTGGCTTGAAGTGTTAGCACTGCAATCAGCTGAACACAAGAACTGCCTCTTATCAGCATTTAGTGTCCAAGGAATTACACTCAAGAGTAAAAGACTTAAGCTGCTTTGAGACCTGGAATTTTTCAATCCCTTATGACAGCAACTAACACAGATCTGCTGGTCTAAAAATCAGGTGTTTTGTTAAAACCTTTCTAATTCTTAGAGGGAGGAAAACAGGAGCAACAAAAAATGCAGAATGAAGGGAGAAAAAAATACCCCTGCTAAGGTAAGCTTACAGCTTTTCCAACAGCTTTGGAAAGGGTGTGAGAAATGTCCCCCTGTTCATTTGTTAGCTATCTGTTTTTACAAATATTTTTATTTTTGTGTATGAAGTATTAGTACCATTGGTTTCACAGGAGCAGCCTAGACCCATCCAGCTGCACAAGAACAGCTATGATACTGCTCTGAGGCCCAGATTCATCCTACCTGACAGAAAACCCAGTCAGGAGGCTGAGTCCTACCCCAGCTTAGGGGGCCTGAACTGCTTTCTAGAGGGTGCCTGCCTCCTCCAGTGCTGGTTTCTTGCCTAGTGACAAAGTTCAGTGTGCTCCAGTTCCCAACACACAGACTTTTTTTGGTGCCAAAAGCTTTGTGAGACAGGTCAGAGCAACATTCACCCCATAAATATGTCTGGACTCCCGGGAAGTAAGTGGAATCATGGATTTGCTCATTAATAGGCAGGAGACAAAATAAACAATCAACCTTAGGAAATACGACTCTCAGGGATGTGAAATGGAAAAGAGAAGCATCTCTAGAGAAGCAAGCACAAACAATAAACAAACAGTTGATTGCTCTGCTAGTAACATTAGACCCTGCTTCACCCAAAGAAATGAAAGAGATCTTAGAAGAGGACCAGAGGTTTAAAGATACACTGTATAACTCAGGCTCTGCTGATAACAATGACAAAACACTCAACAGCCAGCACTACTAGAGTACAGCCCTGACGACTGTTCCTCCCTTCTATACAAAGCTCCTCCATCACCCTTTGATGCAAGTGGAGAGATGGGACTCTGCATTCGTGCACTCAGCAGGGTTTCTCTCTAACCAATACCAGTGAGTGGGCTATCTTCTGATCTCCTCTGATATCTTTCAGGTCAGTACAAGTAACCTTTTGACCAAAAGAAAAATCAAGGCATGAAGCTACAAGTATGATTTTAGTTAGGCTTTGCATTTGCAAGTGCGCTCCAAGCACAAACATCCCTGGCCTTCACATGACCATATTCTTCACTTCTCCCTTATTCATTCCTCACTTCTCCCTTTAGGCACATGATGGCAGCAAGCCATGGGCTTATGCTGCTTTGAAATAGAAAGCCTTCTTTCCACCAATTAATTAAAAAGGAGTCCTGGAGAAGATTTTTAAGCAACCCTCTGAAGTGTTCCAGACTGATACCTTAAGCTATGCATGACTGTATAATTACAGGGCAACAAGCAAGAAGAACCCACTGTGTGATACCATGACATTCACTTTTGCTGTGATGAGGGATCTGGTAGGAAAAAGCTGGAGAGGTGGATAAATGGTGGGATTCCTGAACCAAGCATAATATTGCACTACATCTGCAGTCACACACTTACCACATAATCCAGGAAACCAAGACCATAGTTGCCTCATTGAATGAATTAAAGAAGCGGATCAGATCTTCCCCTTCCGGGCCAAGCTTTTTCAGCGCCACTCCTAAAACCAGAGCGAACAGCACCAGTCCCAGGATATTCATCCCTTCAATCTCAGTACCGACAGGGACCTGTAGAGGCAGAAGAAGAAGGCTTGTTAGATGCAAGACCAGCACAAAACCCAACAAAAGGGTCATCTCATTTTGTTGCTGCCTGATCGATCTGAAATCAACAAGCAGAAGCTATTTTGGGACGAAAGAACCTATTTTGTTGAAGGGAACCAAACAAGATCTGGACACAGTCCAGATACAAACCTCCCTAGTTATGAGCTAACATGGATTCACTGGAGAAGGAAAGGATCTACCACTACCTGCTCGCATGCTGAGGGAGTTGGGGTTGTTCAGGCTGGAGAAGAAAAGGCTCTGGGGAGACCCTAAAGCAGCCTTCCAGTACTTAAAGTACTTCCAGTACTACAGGAGAGATGGGGAGGCGCTCTATCAGGGAGTGGAGTGATAAGACAAGGAGTAGTGGTTTTAAGCCGAAAGAAGGGAGATTTAGATTAGATGTTAGGAAGACATTTTTTCCTGTGAGGGTGGTGAGGCACTGGAACAGGTTGCCCAGAGAAGCTGTGGATGCCCCATCCCTGGAGGTGTTCAAAGGCAGGCTGGATGAGGCTTTGAGCAACCTGGGCTAGTGGAAGGTGTCCCTGCCCATGGCAGCGGGGGGTGGAACCAGATGACCTTTAAGGTCCCTTCCAACCCTAACCATTCTGTGATTCTATACCCTTAAATGAGATACCCTTCCCAGTTTACTGAAGACAAGCTCCATTGCTGATGTGAAACAGCATAGGCACCAATCACACAGACGCAGTTAAAAGACAAACTTTTCTCACTGTTTCTCTGTGAGGAAAGATGAATGTGGGAGAGATGCAGGTATAAATGGCAGATACCAGTGATATTGACTTCCTAGTTCTGCTTATTCCAGCAGGCATCATATATGATATATCATATGATATTCTACCGCCTAAACAAATCATACCTGCAAGAGGCTTGCAGCAGTCTGGCCCCCAACATGCTCTTATTTCCTGACACCTCTGATAGGGGTCTGCTCTCAGAAACTGCCAGCTCCACCACTTTAGTGCAATATTTATGCCAATGTGAAAACCACAAGAAAATAACCAATGTTATGAAGCATAAAATGGGGAGAGGGACAGAGAAAGGCAGCTAACTGTGGAAACCTACTCATTCATCTGCCCACATCAGCCCTGAGAGATACAGACAGAACAGAAGAAACACCTGTTCCCCTTCTCAGAAACCATGTGGCTGTGTGGTAAAAGTGAGAGGATAAAAACAGGATCCACCTATTGACATAAACTAATCTACTCACAACTCTGCTCTGCTGGTCCTTCATGGTTTGTTTCTCAAAGAGAGCTGGAGCTTGTTTAGCAATGTAGTATCATATGAACCGAATGACTGTTCTTGCGGCCACATAAAAATATAATTTTTTTGACAAACTGGGTTTTTTTCCCCCAGAGCTTGGCAGTACAAGCTCAACATGTCACACTGTTGTTTTATTTGGAAGGTCTTCTAAAATGGATTAGGTCTGCGTACAAGTTTTGGCCTTCTGGCTAGTTTAAGTAGACACTAGCTCAACACTAGGAAAGAAAAATAAACCCTCAGCTAAAAGCTTGAAATGGATATTGACTAAAGAACTTGGGATACTGATCTGCCAAATCTGATAAAACTAGCCTTCTTGAGATGATATTTTTGCTGGAAGTATACTGATGAACTGAACTGTCTCTTAGTGGCAGGTGGAAACAAAGTACTGCAAGGAAGAGACTAGAACACAGATTATACACAAAAGCATGAAAGCTGAACTGCTGTTAACAGAACTGTTTGCAAACAATGAAAGTTCTGGCTTTTTTATTTGCTAGCTACAAAATAATTATATATAGGATCTGCAATTTTTTATGGTAGTTGCTTGTTCATGGATAAGTTGTCAGTATTTATTTGATTTCCAATTGAAAGAATTGAAAACACGGGCAGGATATTAAGAATGGGGCACAGCGTATCTCCAGAGATGCTCTTTACTCCACACACAGTAACACTTTTCTGTCTGGATAGTTTTGTCTATATTCTGTTTGTTTGCCTGAAAGCCCTAACTCTTCTGTGGTTATAAAAGTTAGACAAAAAAAAAATGACACCCTCCTGGTCACTGAATAAACTGCCTGTGTAGATGGCATGCACGCATTTTTCTATTTTTCACTCCTGTTAGTAAAACATAACTAGGGTAGGAGATAAGGTTTACTGTAAGTCTCAAGAGAATCTAACAAAGTTTCAGTGACAGTTTACCACTAACAATGTACAAACCAATGTATGAGTCTCAAATTTTATGACTAATTTATTAGGAGAAAGAAAATGTGTAGTAAAATAATGCTGCCATGTCATTTCATCAAAAGCACAGCTTTCTCTGAGAAATGCCAACTTAGGCAAGATGAGAACATTTTTACACCAGAAAAGAAACTCTTACTTCCTACCCATGGAGTGAATGCAACACTTTTTCATTTTGACACAACTTTTCACCTGGTTGGGTTTGTTTGGTTGGTTTTTTTTTTTGTTTTGTTTTTTCTTCAACTCATGATTTTATAATATAACATCTTATATCAGGTTCTTTTGATACAAGGCTAATATGAAAAGTTCAGCTTGGAACAGAATTTTACCATAAGGGGTGCAAACTTTTTCCACAAGAAAAATATCATAAAAACATTGAATGCTCTTTTATTTTGGTTCTCAGTCAGAAAAAAAAAAAATCAAACTTTGCTATGGAACAGAAATTCAGTGTTTCAAGTTGCTGAGAGTGCCCAGAATCCTGGACCTGGATGTTACTGGGAGGGAATTTCATTATACTACTTTATAATGATGTTTTGCAAAGCATCTCTGCCCTTTAAACTCCTTCTACCAGAGATTTGCTTCAACTCATTAAATACAGCAGTGTGAGCCTGAAGCCCAGCAGCCCACTACCATTTGGGGTTCTCAAGGTCTAGTCTCAGGAAGGAGGCAGAAGTGTACTGAGTCTGCAAGCAGATTGCTCAGCTTCCCACCAGATGTGTAGGGCACACAGGCTTAGAGCAGGACAGCGCTTGGGAGGCACACAGGAGAACCAGGGCCAGACCTCCTCACACTAAATGTAAAAGGTCACTTCCTTGACTAGAGAAGTTCAAGGCTCTTCTAGGTCATTCAATCCCCACAAGCATCAGCCACTCCACGTTCTTCAGAGCCATGAGTGCCAAGAGCTTGCCACATTTTGTTCTTGGGGAGCCATGAGGAGGGCAGGAGATAGTAGCATCTCCAGTTAGCTACAGCCAGGACACAGGTGGCTTCTCACCTTTCATCTTAACCTTCACAGTAGCCGACTGTGCATAAATTGGCCAATTCTCCTCAAACTCCCCTATACTGCTCCAGAATGCCAATACATGGAGTTTATTTTAGTCTTCTTTCACCCTCAGAGATGTCTCTCTCCACTTTGCTCCCAGCACTGCGATTACTGCTGCTGCTGTTCTCCAGATGCTCACACTTACTAGTCCTTCAAGCTCAGCTCTTGTGATCTGGGGACACCTGCATTCTTGGTGACCAGAGGGAAGACACTATGCACAGCCACCAAAAGCTTCTTGGCTCTTTCTCTCTGTTCACTGTCATTCTGCCACCCATTTCAGGTCTTGCTCTCCCTTAATCCCTCGTGAGCCAATTTCTTTACAACACACAACATTCACCATCACCTCCCATCACTGCACATGTAGGCAGAAGGTGCATCATTTACATGGAGTAGTAACTTCCTGCAAGAAGTTGCTCCCTGCAAAACAAGGGAACAATCTGCAGCATTCAGGGAATTTCACCTCCTTGCAGCACAATATGGAAAGAGTCCAGCAGTAAATCCTCAGCGGAAGATCCTCTCAATCCCAGCCTCTAAAACTGGCAGGTGCTGAACAGCCTTTTTATACTCGAACAGAAGAGTGCATCACCCCAAAAGAGCTGCCAAACCAAGCAGCACTGTAGACACCAACCAAAAACAGCTTTAATGAGAGCTTTGTTCCTGGACAAACTACGGGACGCGTCATTGTTTGCTTGAAATTATGTGTTCTGGTAGGAAGATTCATGGAGCTCTTCTGGTCCCTGAATCTCTCTGAAGATCCTATTGTTTTTCAGCTCTTGAAACAAAATGCTTATCAAGGAAACAACTGCTGACACTGAGCTGTCCCAGTAGCAGGCGGCTGAAAAGAAAATGCAGCCATGTGATGTGAAGAAGAAGAGCAATCACTGGTTTGTGTATTTTTACTGCTGCCACAAGAGGAACTCATGAGTCCCCCGCCAGCCTCCCTGTGCTGCAGATGGGAAACTGAGATAGTCCATGCCCCAGGAAGCCTTGCTGCTGAAGGGACAAAGAGGATGTAGCCATAAAAGCTAGGTAAACATGAGGGGAGCATGTGAAACAACAAAAAGGACATGGCTGAGCAGACATCTACGTGCCCCACTATTCATATCATCAGCGAGAGAAGAGAGGGCCTGTTAACCGGGTCGGGGGGAGGAGGGAATCATCAATGGAAAATTTTATGGAAAGTAGAAGAAAAACATTTCTCCTCTTCAATCAAATATTCTGATGATGAAAGAAAACATTAGATAGGAATATAATGTTGTTTCCCTGGGACCCAACTTCTATCGCTATGATATTTACACTACATATTATTCAAAAATCGCACTCTTCCTTTCCAAACTTAATCCTCATCTGTCCACAAATAATATGGTCAGACCAGTATTGAAATGGAGATGATGCTTTCTTTATTTGGTCCACTCTTCCCTAGAGACAGTAGGGCATCTTCTGGAACTAAAGCAACACAGCTCTGGTTTTGCTCCAACAACTGAAGAAAATCTTTGGAACAGTAATAGTGGAAATAACCTTCACATCATAACTGCTGGCAAAAACAGGCACCAGTGACAAATTCAGGATATTTTTTCTGATATTGCATCACACAGGAGTCTGATAAATGGGAAAATAAAAACTGAGAAAGAATCTCACATTTTAAATTGCGAAAAGATGCATTCTTATCTCTGGAGGAAGAGTAACTCCTTTGAACAAGCATCAAAAAAAGTACTTGACATGGATATGGTTGGCACTGATCCGTGCTTGGCTGCCAAGGAGCCCCTATCAAACTTGACAATGAAGATGAATAAGAAGAGTCTTATTCACCTTTCATTTACCTCTGCTTAAATGAAGAATAACTCCACACTCTGTAAGCAAACACACACATCTAAGTGCACACTGTTACATACAGCCTTTTATATTGAACTTGGTTTTTAGCACACAAGGCTGCATGGGCTTGTACTGCCCGAGGATATAACGGTGTGACAAGAGAAAGCACTCTTGTGGGATCACACGGCCCTTCTGCAGTCACTGCCGTACATCCATGTCAGATGGGGTGAGTGCAGAACCGGGCTCATGCAATCTTACAGGCACGGGCAGAGCCCAGGAAGATGGGGCTGCTTTCTTCCCCAGTGAAACCACTCACTGTGTGATAGCAGGCTTCTAGGCAAGGTCTGACTTTTCCCTGCTCAGTTTTTGTGCCATTCAAGCACACAAGATACTTCATGTGGAGTGAGGTGACATCCACAGGCTCGGACGGACACCGAGTCTGTTTCACAGTATGCTGCCTGTAAGACAACGGTAATTATTTCTGGACCTGCAATATTTTGGCTCTGGCCCCATGCTGAAGGAGGCTGCTCAATGGGATATAGAGCATCTCTGGAAGTCCTAGGAGCTCCATATGGAAGATAATACTCTCTACCTCAGCTACACCTGCAAATTAGTTTCCTTTTTGACACCTTTGGAGTAGCAGCCTATTTGTAATGTTCTGCATATAATTTTTGCTCCTTCAGACCACTTGTTACTGCTTCAAACAAAATTTTAGCAGCAGGGCAACAAGAAAAACACCAACAGCCTTGGGTACTGGAAAAAATCTTATTCTCTCCAAACTGTTAATGAAGAGTAAGGTTTAAGGGACATATTCAGCCAGCCTGATTGCTATTTAATTCCAAGTCTACAGAAAGTTGTTTGGAAACAGTAAGCAGAGTGACTAATCAAAATTTAGATCAAGTGAGACCAGGTTAAGAAAGCATAGCCTAAAAATAAGGCCTCAAGGGTCAGATCAGTCGAGCCCAACTCTCTATCCATCATAGCTTTCTTGTGTGGCTGTAACTCATCTGGCTTCTGTGTGTCTCAGTTCCAGGCAAAGAAAAGTACTTGTTTATTTCCAATGACTGCTGGAAATTATTAAAGACTGCAAAGTAGTCAAATATTACAGCTGACAAGAGTTTGTACAAAAAGTTTAGAAGTTAACTTACCTTTTCCCACGTGACATTTCCAGAGGTAGTGTTTCTCGGCAGCATCTTATATTCTGTCGCGTACTGCAAGTAAGGAAAAAAAACCAAACAAACAAAACCACAATGTTAGCCAATCAGATCATCAATGTGACCACATCATCTAGCATTTCACAACGAGGAGACTACTGCTAGGAAGACTTTTTCTGGAGACCATACTGTGAAGGCTAACTAGCCTGTCCTCTGCAAGAAAATTGAGTGACAACATATGCAGCTCCTTCCCCATGTGGCAACAGAGAAGTGCTCTGTGACCCCTTAGAGCTCCTAGGTTCGGGCAGCAGCCAAGGAACTCCCCTTTCCTCCACCCAGCTGTTGCTCGCACACCATGCTGTTGCACTGGCTCCTGCAGCAGGCAAGTGGTGCTTTTGCTGTTCCACTGTTAGAAACGGGGAGGCAGGCATTGTCAGTAAAAATATCTAAAATCTAGGGCAACAGTTTACTTTGATAAATAAGCTAGACACCTCACAGAAGTAGGGCACTTCTTTAAGCTTGTTTTCTTTAGATATAGAAGAGGGAAAAGAAAACCTCATGTATTTGCCAATTACCTGTGACAACAGCAGCACAGATGAAAGGAAGACTTCTTTATTTCATCCTTGAACATACAGAACCCTGACACTGGAGGTATCACATAATATCCTTTTCTTAATGATATTTTTGTACTGCTCCTATTTTTATTTGTGGCATATTGACTTGTACTGTATATAAAATCAAGTTCCATTTTGAGTGTAAGAGTTAACTTTTTTTGGTACAAAAAAAACCTGACAATACTATGAAGGCAAAAACTCTTATTCTGCTCCTGTATCATAAAGAATCATTCTGTCCCATAGCAATATTCTCAACAGTGTCTATCCTGACATCTAAAATTAGCAATATGAACTAAAACAAAATCTTCTTAGAGCCCCACAGCTCCTGTCCATCTGTTTAAACCACACTATGTTCTGGTGCCAGTTATCATCCCTACCATACTTAGTCCTCTGTCAGAACAGAAGCCAGGCTGAGCAACTAATCCAGCAAGGGTTACAGTGGAAAATACTGAATAAAAGCATCAGGCAACAGGTAATGCTTACACACATGGGAGCCTAAAAGTCTTTAGCCTTGTCTGTTCTGAGCGCAGCTCCAAACTATGTACCCAAAGGTGTCCCAGCTAGCTTCTACAAAGTGATAAGCAGCCCGGCACAAAGAGTTGCCATTGCTGCCCAACATGGTACCCAAAGTATAAAAGTTTACAGAACATTTTTGGTGGATGTACAAAACAGAGGCTACAAATATGCTTTTGTTTGAGGAGTATTCTTCAAAATCAAACCATTTGCCATGGAAGTTGTATGTCTAATTACATCAGGTGCTTTTAAAAATCCTACCTACTCTAAGTAAATTAATTTTTGGTATTTTCTACACCATCTTTCTAGTCCTTTTTTTAGAAAGAGCAGTCACTCTGTCTGTCTGTGCACTGTAGCTCGTGTCCAAAGTCCACACACATCTTACCGTTTGGAAAGCTGCAGCAACAAGATTTGCAGGAAACAGGTTTCTGTAAAATACAAACAAGAAAATGAAATATTTCTTGCAGAATTTCTAAAATGAATGCCCCAAAGTGTTTTACTCTCTGAAACTCTATCCCTTTTGCAAAGGCAAGCATATTGGCATCAGCAAGGCACAGAAGATACTCTGGCAGCACAGAGCAGATGTCTTGCTAGGTCCCTGAGGTGTGAATGCCATCTTCTTTTGCTCACATAAAAAGGTCCCTGCTTGTCTGCCACACCTAACCACCCCGGTAGGGACACCAGAGGCAATCAGACCCGATGCTATACACACCCATCAGCCAGTGGCTACAGAAACAGGCTTAGCCACACCAGCTGCAGCTACAGCTTATGACCTCCAGGGTAAGGCAGATTTTTAACATTACTCATCTGATTACACTTTGCTCACAGCACCAACATGAGGGACAATCCAATCAGCAAAATCCACTTAAGAGAACAGCTTAACTCTTCAGCACAACAAGGTCAGCTTCCCTGAACACGGAGGTAAAGCAGAACAGTGTCACAGGCCAGGGTTGTCTGCAAGGGCTTAAATGGGGTAAAAGCACAGATGAAAGTAGGGGCAACTCGTATGGAAAGTTACAACTTCTGAATTCTACTGGGCATCCAGTGTATGTGCACATCTGTGAAGTGACAAGGACAGAGAAAATGGTTAACGTCTCCATGTAGGAAAAAAAGTTGCTACGAAGTATTTTATAGTTGTTTTTAAAGCTACACTTCCTTTCTTCCCTTAGGGTGGGCAAAGAATATGTGTCCCCCTAGCCAAATGGCAGCTTTTTTGTGTCAGAAAGCAAAACAGGAATAAAAGCCAATCTCTGGCATCACAGCAGGACCCTAGCTGGCGAAAGCAGGAAGGTTAGAGGTAAGAACTGAAAATACTGCCAGCTGAACACATCAAGGAGGCATGGCAACTCTTACGGTAAGGAAACAAAAGACCTTATCCAGAGTCAGGGTAACTGGCAAAAAACATTTGGTCAGCTGCTCCCCGTCCTTTGCTCAGAGGAAACTGCAGGTACTTCCAGGCTATGCCCTGGTAATCTCCCCCCAGTTTTTGCCATAGTTACCCAGGCAAACACGATTTTAAACCAGGCTTGCTGTTGCGATCATTCCACGAACGACATGGAAAGCGTGAATACGAACCACAGCAAGACACAGAGCAGCAGAGTCAAACCTCTGAAAAGCAAGAGGGAGATTAAGATACAGCACAGACAAGGACTTTGGTTTTTTCCATTGCACAGATACATTATCCTGCCACACAGTGAGGGTTTTCCCACAGCCTTGACAGCAACGTAAAGTACATGGACCTTCATCAAACAAGTGGCTGCTGTGAGCTACCTCAGCCTCTCTGTTGCATTACAAGTGTATTAGGAGGCAGCTGCAAAAGCCAAACTGCTGTAAGAATAATTTGGCTTTTAAAGTCTACGTTCCACTGAGCATGAAAGAAACTGCAACTTTTTCTCCTTAAAATTTGACAGCATAGGAGAGTGAGCTGTAACTCTGCAAAAATACTAAAGAATTGGTCAAATAAGATCAATGGAACAGCTAACGTGCCTCAGTTCTTGCGCAGCTGGAACTCTGGTGGATAAAACTTCATGTAAAGTAAAAGCTTTTATCAGGAGCAAAACATCACATATGCAAATAGGCCCAGCTCAGTACACAGTTTTAATAATAGTAACAAAAATATACAACATGCTGTTGGGAAAATAAGGATATTTCTTTTCAACTTTTCACAGGACTATGATAGCTTTTTTAAGAAAAGATAAGACTGGATTTTGAAGAAGCAAAGATATTAAAAAAGATGGAAAACCAACCAGAAATCAAATTACTTTTTTTTTTTTAATCAGCTTTTCCATCCTGATGAAACAAAACCAAAGGAAGCAATCCTAAAGCCTAAACAATATGGTTATCCAATGTTTAAAACCAAACCCTCCATAACTTACACAGTATGTCAGGCACGGCCCTCAGTAATCAAACACTAACTTAACTCCAAGCATATACTTAAAGCACATATCTGAGTGATGCCAGCTGCCCTGCTACAGCAAGGCAAGGGGCAGGTTCTCACTTCAAGTGTGAAAAGCACTAAAGCTCTTCAAATAAGAGCATACAGCAGTCACTCTTCTTTATCCCTGGAACACCAGTTGCAGGACTTGACTCTGAGGATACTGAAGAGCATTTTTGACAATCTACCAAGTAAAAAAAATTGGATCTTAATCCAGCAGCTCAGAAGAAGCTGTACGCTTTATTCAATACAACTTCTCAGTATACCTGGCTGCAAAGTCACAACATTTTAAAAAAATGTTTTGCCCCTCTTTGTTTCAAATCCTGAAACGTGTTGGGTCATATAAAGCAATGAAGAAATAAATGCCTTATCTTAGAGGTAAGAGACACTCATCGCTCACCTAAGATCAGTCAGCATGCGAATTAAATTAAACTTTAATTATGGGTGGGTCAGACCACAGGTTTTTACCTTAAGATGGATTTGTGCAAGAACACCACAGCAGCACCTGAAAAAAAAAAGGGTCAGGAAGCTGCACGCTCCAAGGAGAGTCAAAAGCTGGCTGGTGACCTGCCTGGGCTCATCATGTGCTTGTGCCTGCAGGCTTTGCTCATCCGGCGCAGTGAGGCAAAGTTCACCCGCCACAGAAATCCAGACCCAGCTCTGTCCCTGAAAGACAGTGTTCAACACATCCCAAAGCCCAAGCAGAGGAGTCGCATGGGGAAGAGCAAACATCCCTCCTGGCTGGGTTAACTGGCAAACAGGAAAGCTGATCAGCTGGGTAATTGGGGATGCAAATTAAATGTGGATGCTTGCCAGTTGGTTTTTCCATGCAAAGCAAATCTGGAGAAGGTTTTTTTGCTTTGAAAGCTCGTACCAGATGTGAATGTGAAGTTTAAAGAAATCACCACAGTTGTATCACTGGATTGCTGACTATTGCAGCTGCTTCTAGTGGCCATCCCTGCCACTGCTATGCCCCGTTTTAGAGAACACGGTTGCCTTTTTGAAGCAGATGCGCATTATCACAAGAGCACACCGCTGAGGAAACCCTGAGTCTGGGTGATAAGGAGCCCAGCACAGGGGTCTGTGATCAGGCAGCCTTGGCTTGGTGACGCACAGAGACAAAACTTGATGTATGCGGCAAAAATTAGATGAGCCAGCAACGCACAACAGTACAGCAGGGGGACTGACATGCTACATGCACTTCAGATGTTCCACTGCTGCTGGTATTTTGCTCCGCCTTTGTGGTGTAAAGGCAAAGTAGTTGGTACAGAAAGACTTGACTCCCCTCACCAAGCACCGGACAGGGAAGTTTCTCTCTGCCTGTTGCAAGTCACGCAGACAGCCTTCCCCCGCCACCAAAAAGAAAAATTATAAAAAAAATCAGACATCCAAAGGACAGCTGTCAAGGGTGACAGCTGTGTCCTGGGGCTGGAGCAGCAGCTGGGCTGAGCCAGGAAACCTCCACATACCTGCACAACACACAATGTGAGAAAGCGCCCGTCTCGGATCCTCTTAAAATAGGAACCAGAAGGCAGCAGCACCAAGGGAGGGAGTTTCAGGGTCTGAGTACTTTCTGCTTAAATACCATACTCATCACACCATCTCCCCAGGCACAGCCAGACGAATGCAGCTTTCTCCTTTTCCCCAGGGAAGAGGTGCTCCTGCCAGCAGGAAGGGACCATTACTCC